TATTCTTTAGATCATGAATTCAGGTAGGATATATTCAAGGTTGTATTTTGGCTCTCATAGGTTTGTTTTCATTTTCTTTATAGCTTCAGTTTGAACTCATATACAAACAATTTGATGGTCTATTCTCAGTTGACTCCTCAGGCTGTTCTGATATTTAATTATCTCCATTATCTTTTTTACAGAAATAGTGAATTTGATTCCTGTGTATTCACCTGTAGAAGTTCATGTGCATAGGTATGGTTTATGTTGTTGAGAGAAAAAGACATTTGCAGTGAATAAGGAAGTATTGACAATATACCACAACTTGGTTGAATCTCTAAAGCATTATACTAAGTGAATAAGAGCCAAATATGAAAGTTCATTGACTGTATGATTCCATCTTGGTGAAATATCTAGGATAAATACATTCTTAGAGTCAGAAAGTAAACTAATGGTTCCAAGGAATGGGAAGCAGAGGAGGGGAGGAATGAAGAGTAACTGCTTACTGGACACAGGGTTTCTTACTGGGCTAATGAAAACGTTTTGTAACCATGTAGAGGTGGTTGTTTGCTTTAAAATGGTTGGTCTCATGCTATATATTCATCTAGTCTCAATTTAAAATGGGATCTAATATAAATTTGATCAATTTACTGAAAATATAAATTAAATGGAAAAACAGAGAACATGTTAAATGTAAATAGGGTTAATATAATCAGGAAAATAGACACAGGGTGTAGAACATTCTAATGGAAAAGAATTCCCTTTCTTCAATAAAAATTTGCAAGAAAAGAAAAAGAGGTGAAGAATGATATGCTTTAGTGCCTTTTAAATCACATCAACCAGTTACAGTGTGTGAACTTCTATCCAAATAGATTATATTTTTGTAAAGTCCACAAAAACTAACAACTTACAAATTCATAAGAAATGGAAGAATATGAACACTGGATATAATTTTAGATATGAATCAAGGGTTTGAACTGGCTCCAGTTTAGCCATGGTCAATGAGGCATGCCAGTTACATAGCAACCAAATATCCTGAGTGAGATTTTGACAGAAAGGAAGCCTTAGAGTAGGTCAAATGGACTGAAAGAAATTAGAGATCTGCTTTTCAGTTCTTCTTGGAGATTTAAACATGAGCTCACTTAGTGAAAGCTCAGCCTTGTACTGCATGTCTTTCTTTTAGTGATACTAACCCTTTAGGGAGGTCAAGTGGCCTAGCAGCAGTCAGGAAATCAAAAGACGAGTTGCATTAGGAAAATCTGCTGTCAGGGATCTCTCCAGAGTACTGAAAAGCAACGATGTCAGTCTAGAGATTGTTGTTGTTGTTATGTGCCGTCGAGTCGCCTGCGACTCATAGCGACCCTATGTACAACAGCCCTAAACTCCGCTCTGTCCTGTGCCAATCGCACTGTCTCTGACACTCCCATCCCAATTATCCCAGTCACTGAATCAATCCACCTCATAGAGGGCCTTCCTCTCCTGCGCTGTCCCTCCACCCTCCCAAGCATGATGTCCTTCTCCAAGGACCTGTCTCTCCTCACAACATGTCCAAAATATGTTAGACGGAGCCTCAGAATCCTTGCCTCCAAGGAGCCACCCGGTTTAACCCTTTCCAGGACAAATCTGTTTGTTTTCCTAGCAGTCCATGGTATTCTCAATACTCTTCTCCAGCACCACAGCTCAAAGGCATCAATTCTCCTTCTATCCTCCTTGGTCATTGTTCAACTCTCTGATGCATAACAGGTGATTGCGAAGACCATGGCCTGTATCAGACGCACCTTAGTCTCCAAAGAGACACCATTGCTCTTCAGCACTTTGGAGAGGTCCCTAACAGCAGACTTTCCCATTGCAATGCGCCTTTTAATTTTCTGACTGCTGGTGCCAAGACTGTTGACTATGGAGCCAAGCAAACTAAAGCTGTGTACAATCTCAGGCCGTGGTCTTCACCATTACTTTCTATGCATCAGAGAACTGGACAATGACTAAAGATGACAGTAAAAGAATCAATGCCTTTGATGGTGGTGCTAGAGAAGAGTCTTAAACATATCATGAACTGCCAAGAAAACAAATGTGTCTGTTTTGGAGAGGGTGAAACCAAGTCTTTCCTTGGAAGCTAGGTTTTTGAAGCTCTGTCTCACATGCTTTGGGTGTGTGGCCAGAAAGGACTGGTTCTTGGAGAAGGACATCATGCATGGAAGGGTGGAGGGACAGTGCAGGAGAGGAAAACCCAGATGATATGGATTTATGGTGTAACTTGGGCAATAGGGATAGGTGTATCAGAGTCAGTGAGACTGACTCACGACAGGGCAGGCTTCAGAGCTGCTGTACATAGGATTGCTATGAGTCACAGTTGACTCGACCACACAACAACAGTGGCCTAGCAGTAAGGAAAAAAAGCATGAGGTTTGAATCCACTGGCTCCTATGAGAAAGAAAAATGGGCAGTTTTGTTCTGTGCGATTCACTGCCTCTAAAAATCCGAGTGTCACCTAGGAGGTGGTTCTGACTCTATGGCACACAACTGCCCTTTACGATTTCAGTTCTTTATCAAGTTCTAGAAAGTTTTCAAAAAGTTTGGGCAGCCTTCCCACGCCCCACCATCAGCACTATTTTGTTTTCTAGTTGACCTTCCAAACATACCAGTGTTTGCAAGCTACTCAAGAGGTATTGTTTTGAAGAAGGGACTGAAGAAGAGGGGTTTTCCTTCATCTCAATTTGCTCTTCAGAGGGAGAAAGTGGGAGAAAGATGGGCAATCTCCTCCCATGCAATTAACTGCCTCTGAAAACCTACTGGAAGATCAGCTATGGGTCGGTTCTAACTTGACAGTTGTTATGTTGCCGTTGAGTCAAGTATGTCTCATAGTGACCTTATGAACAAAAGATCTGAAGCCTGTTCTATGCACAAGAGCCCACTGTGGCAAACACCATGTTGCAACTGACTTCCAGTTTGGGCTCTACCACTATAGTACTATAACTACCCTCATTCCTTTAGTGTTTAGGGTTTTCAAAGGCCTGTTATTTAAGAAGTAGATAGCCAACCCTCCTACCTAGTCTGTCTTAATCTGGAAGCTCTACTGAAACCTGTCCACCATGGGTAACCCTTATGGCATTTGACACACCAGTGGCACTTCTTTCACTATCACAGCAACCCCAAATTATCTCAGTACAACAAAATGACAGACAAGTTCTGTACCACTTACTCGATAGTACTTAACAGAGATGGAGAAAGGGCTACTGGAGTTTGTAATTCAGTTGAGTGTCCATGAAGGAAATTTATCTTAATAAATAGTCCCTAGGTACACAGAGGATGAGCACATTCAGCTGCTAACTGAAAGGTTGGAAGTTCAAATCTAGTCAGAAGTGTCTCAGAAAGGTGGAGCAATCTACTCCTGAAAATCAGCCACTGGAAACTCTGTGGAGCTCAACTCCATAGCTCAACCTCACTGGGCCGCCATGGGTTGGAAAGGCCTTGTGCCAACTGGTGGGGGTACCATCCTCAACCTTACTGCCCACCCCTATCCTTAAAACACCTTGTTTGAAATCCACCTAATAGATTTTGAGAAAAGTATTTTATAACTGTCGATAGGACCCGCGAGAAACAGTCCATAGGGAGATGTATAGCTAACACAAAGGAGCCTCTTTCAGGGTTCGAATCCAGCAGCCAATCTGCAGGAGAAAAAGATGGGCAATCTCCTCCACAGTGATTTACAGTCTCTGAAACCCCAGGTGAGTCAGCTATGACTCCGTTCTCCATAGCATACTCCAATGGTTAAGCGCTGACGAAGCAAAACTCTGAGGATTCTAATCCACTTAGAGGCGCCTTGGAAGACAGGCCAGGGATTGAAGCAAAATCACAGCCTTGAAATCCTTATAGAGAGCTGTTCTGGTCTGCAACCCATGGGGTTGCCACGGAAAGGAATCAAATCAGTGGCAACTAGTTTGGTTTGGTTTGAGTAGATGAACAGTGGCATAAAGAGGAGTGAAACGGGGTTGTAACTTCAAAATTTTCTGAATCGGAAATTGACAATAAAAAAAGTTTTAATTTGCCAAAGGCAAATAGTAAATAGCCTCTGTGACAATTCGTATTAAATTGCTGATTTAACGATCTTGCACAGCCAGCAATGGAAATGGTACCTGAATAAAAATTGCTCGTTGGTGCATCCCTCCCAGGGCTCAGGCGGCATCTGCCACTCCTAGAAACGCCTCTGTCATGTGCAAACAGGTCTGCAAAACCATTGTAAGGAAGGCATGAGATGTGTAAGTCCCAAAGCAGTTTTCTCACCCAGCTCTCCAATCTTGGCTGGCTAGCTTGTCTAGAGGGTGGAGTGTAGATGGTGCCGGGAACATAGTGGCGAGCGAGCTGCTAGAGAAGCGGAAAAACAGCAGGAAACCTCGTCCCTAAAGAGCAGCAGGGCTGCATTTTGCGCACTAGGAGGCAGCACTGCGCTGAGGAATCCGCACTAAATTCCCTGCCGCCGGCATGTGTATCCTAGGACATGTCCCTTGCCCGCCAGGCCTCAACGTCCGCATCTGAAAAGTGGGAAGCAGCTGGTAATAGTGACAGGAAAAGGAATGAAATGGGCAAAGTTGCAAAGTACATTCAAGGGACCCTTTGTCCGTTGGCATTCTAGGCACTGATCAGTGCGCACTCATGTAATGCTGATTTCTATATACAAGTTCTGGGAGCCAAGGGGTGCGGCATAGTTGGCCTCCCACCCCGGCCGGCCCAGCCAAGGGTCCCCCAAATTTTCCCAAGCGCATCCTGAAGCTCGCGCGAGCCAGGCGTGGGAAGACTACAGTTTCCAGAGTGCCCTGCGGCGACGGGCGGAGTCGAAGAGCGCCCTCAGCCAATTAGGGGGTCTCGGGGCGAGGCCGGAGAGCGGCAGGTGGAGCCGCGGGCCGGTGGGCGGGCGCGGGGGCAGGGTCCCCGGAACGCGTCCAGGGGCTCGCGGGTTGAGCGGCGGGCGCGGTGCCAGCGGAGCCGGCATTCCGGAGGCGGCCCCGGGACGGGACGAGGCAGGGGCGGGACCACCGGCCGGCGCGGTTCCGGGTCTCTGGCCGCGGCACAGCCCAGGGCGCACTTGACCCGGTCGGCAGCGGGTAAGGGCGCGTCTGGGGAGAACCCCCGAGCGCCGCGGCGGTCTCCACCCCCGTCCTCGAGGCCACCGAGCCACAGTCACAGTCGGAGCCGGCGCCACCTCGTCCCTAGGCTCGCGCTCCCCTAGCTATGGCTTTCGCCAATTTCCGTCGCATACTGCGCCTGTCCACCTTCGAAAAGAGAAAGTCCCGCGAATATGAACACGTCCGCCGGGACCTGGACCCCAATGAAGTGTGGGAGATCGTGGGCGAACTGGGCGATGGCGCCTTCGGCAAGGTTTACAAGGTGAGGATTCTGGCAGCGGGTGGGCAAGTGGCCGGGGCGCGTGGAGCGGCTCCGGAAGGAAGGGGCGCTGGTCCCCCTGAAGCCTGGCCACAGCTCGGGAGGACACAGAGGGGCTGCCCTGGCACTGAACGTGGGGTCCCAGGCCCTCGCCCCGTGACCCTTATTCTTTGGGAGACCTCGCTTGGTTCAGCTGAGTCCCTGCGACCTGGGGCCCCCCTCTGGGCACGGCTGCTGCCCACCAAGTTCGGTTTTGAGCACTTCCTGTACGCGGGGCACTGCAACTCGGCTTTGAAGGGGAGACAAAGGGGCGCTCGGCATCCCAGAGGGCATCCAAAGCACCCGCAGTAGACAAGCAAACAAACAAGACTGATACGAGCCATACTTTTAAAGTGAGACCATGCAGATGCTGTGCTTGTGCCGGGGCAACTGGAGAGACTGGCCGCGGTCCTATCTGGGAACCATGAGATGGAGCAGAGGAGAAAACACTCAGAGATGAGCTGGAGACAGGCGCGTAGCGTCAGAAGTTAGGCGTGGCAAGGTGGACCGGGGACATGGGAGGCGATGGCCCCAGGAATGCTGGGCTGCAGGCATCAGATTTGACTGTGTGCCTCTGAGTCATAAGTGGGGAGTCTCCCCGTTTGCAGTCACCTCTCGCCTAGAGGAATAGGGGCCGTGCGCACTTGTGGCGCATTGGGTGGGGCAGAACTGATTAAACCTAGACTGGCTTGCAACAGGACGTTGTGGGTTTCTGCTCCTGTGATCTGTTCTGTTTGCCACATTGTGCTGGGGGCCCACACACTCTACCCGGGCTCTACCCTTTCCCAGATCTCCATTTCTCTAGGAAAACCTTTATTGGGAGGATTCCACGTGCTAAGCTGGTGTACATCTTCAGCTGGGTGCCTCCCCCTTAAACGCACTTTCTTTATACTTGGGGACTCAGTTTGGAGCTCAGTTCACCTCACAGTTGTCCCTACTGGAAGCTGCGCTTCTCCAGGCCCACCAGGGGAGGACTTACTCTCTTGGCCTTGATAGTGGCCTAGGGCCCAGTTGCTCCAAATGTGGCCCTTGGACCAGCAAACACCAGCAGCACCTCCTGGGAATATGATAGAAATGTGTAATCTGGGGCCTCACCACAGACTGAATTTGAATCTGCATTTTTAAACGAGCTCTCTGGTTCCTGAGTACTCTAAAGTTTGAGAAGTTCTCCTTCAGAGAGGTAGAGAGTAGGGGCAACTTTAAGGCCAGTGAACACCTTCAGGATGCTGCTTGTGTTACCTTCCATCTCCACTTTGACCCAGCACTTCTTGTTATGGGAGGGGAGCTCCCACGGGAGCAAAGTTCCTGTGGTTTCCAGACACTCACACCCCTGGTCTTTGGGCTGATTTGCTGCTTTTCTCTGCTGGAGGACTCTGCACTCAGGTGAAAGCAGACAGAGCATGTTCTGAAGGAGCCCTGGTGGCATTGTGGGTTACTCGTTAACTCGCTAACTGAAAGGTTGAGAGTTCAAATCCACTAGCCTCTTCAAGAGAAAAAGATGGGCAGTCTTCTACTGTAGTGATTTACTGTCTCAGGAACCCAGTGGAGGATTGGAACCAACTCCAGGGCAGAGAGTTTTGTTTCAGTCACACTATGAAGGCCTAGTGATATCATGGGGTTAATAATGGAAAGGTTGACAGTTCAAACCCACCAGCTACTTGGAAGGGGAAAAAAATGAAGCATTCTGCTCCTGCCCAGATTTACAGCTTTTGGAAATCCTGTGGAGCAGTTCTCTGCTCTGTGAGATCAGCTCTGGCTGACTCACTTCCACCTTGTAGTTTTCTTTATCCTGTCCATAGCCTCATCATTCTTGGCAGGGGATGAGGAAATAATCCCTCTGGACACCTGCTGTATGTTCCTGTGCAGTCAGACCAGAGTCTGCTGCTCTAGATGTGCTCTGGTTTAGCTCAATCTGCTCTGCTTTCTCTGGAAGGTGCAATTGGTGTGAGTTTAGTGCACACTTCTGACGTTCACTGATGTTTTCCCCTGTTTCCTTCTGACCCATGACAACACCACATAGATCTACGCCCCACAGGATTTTCAGTGGCTGATTGCTCTGAACCAGATCACCAGGCTTTTCTTTCTTCTGAGGCACCTCTGGGAGGACATGAACTGCCAAACTTCTACTAGTGGATGAGCACTTACTTGAACTCTGTGCACCACCCAGGAACTCTGTCTCCCTCCCCAAATTTCTCATAGTGCCATACGGTTTGCTTTCTTTCAACCATAAATGAGGACCTTTGCCCTCACATTTGTCAGGTTTTCTCTCACTAGTTTCAGATGTCAATTCTGCCTGCTTTTGGCCTGCTAAAGGAGCCGTGGTGCCAGAGTGGCCTATTATCTACTAAACACAACGTCAGTAGTCCAAGCCCATAAGCTGATCCAAGCTAGAGAAGTGGACAGTGGCGGGAAGAAAAGTGCAACAATGAATGAATGGAAGTCCAAAATCTCTGTAGATGTTCATTGACATTAATAAAAAACAAACAAATAAAAAGCCCACTTTTAGCCTCAGAAGCCTGTTAAGAGGGTTTCCATGATTTGGAATAATCGTAAAAAGTAGGTTTACTCTGTTATAATCCCCTGCTGCGCTAGGTATTTCACACAGAGGAACTCATCTGATTCACAACAAGTTTGCCTCTTCCAGATTTTCCACAACATGGGCCCCTTTACACGGGAGTTTGGTTCTCAAAGTTTGTTTCTCATCCACCCTCTCCTCACCTTCAAACACACCGGGAGAGGACTCTGGGCCCATTTTTTCTGATGAGTGTCTTAAAAGATCTTTAAAGCCTAAAGGCGTTCAGTTTCAGGTTACATAGCAAGACTCTAACCCCCTTGTGATAATCGCAGTCACCACCACTTCCTGAGGAGAAGAGATGGGTTACAATTAGTTTTGTTCAAGGTTAAGCTCATTCTCCCACACACCACCCCACCCCCCTAGGGTTGCAAGTTGGTTACAAAATAAAATCATCACCTTTTTCTAGATACAAAGTAATGTTCACAAGCTATGTGCCTTCAAAATTTTCAACATTAAAATAATCTTTATTCTGGGGAAAAAATTTGTTCTGAAGGCAAGGTAGAAAGGGGGGAAGTATTTGTATGATGGTGAGTGGAAAAAGCTGCCTTTGGCAGGGCACGGCTGTTGTCATAGCAGCTGACTAACACAGGTACTTGTATACTGAAAAGGGCAGCGACTGTGAAGAAATACACCAGGTTTAGATGGATGGATAAGATGGGGGTTGTTCTCCTTGAAAAATGCTTTCGTTTTGATCTTATGTCGTCTGTGAGCTGTTAAAAAGTTTATTTTCTTGCCAATTTAGAAACAATATGTTGTTGGTAAGGGCTGTCAAGTCAAGTATGACTCATAGCCACCCTGTAAAGCACAGATCTGAACTCTGTCCTTTCCTGTGTCACAGTCTCTGACACCCTCAAGCCCATTGCCACAGTCACCATGTCAGCTCACCTGGTTGAAGGTCTTCCTCTCTTTCACTGCGCCTCCACCCTCCCAAGCATGATGTCCCTCTCCAAGGAATAGCCTATCAACATGCCCAGACTAAGTAGCACGAGTTTACTAGGCTCTGGCGCCCTAGTGAGTAGGAAGTTTCGCTGGTAACCCAGAGCTGGAACCTCTCTGGCAGTTCAAACCCAATAGCTGCTCCAGTGAGAAAGAGGGACAATCCCCTCCCGTGCAGTTTGCAGCCTCTGAAAACTCGCTGGAGGGTCAGCTATGAGTGGGTCTGACTCACAGCAATGGATTTTGAGGGTTTTTTTCCTTGAGTTTATGATTAGGAACTCTGATGGTATTGTGTATTTCACATTCCCCTGCTGACTCAAGGCTGCTTCTCAGGAGAAAGATGGGCAGTCTTTTGCCGGGATAATTTCAGTCTCGGAAAGCCTGCGGGAGTCTCACTGTGAGTCGGAATTGACTCAATGGTAGTGGGTGCTGGTTTGTAAAATTGAAAATGTACACCCAAATAGCAAATAAAAAAAACCCCAAAAAACCGAAACCAACAGCCCAACTACTGCCATTGGCTGTTCTGTTCTACATAGTCGATGGATACAATAGGAGGAGAATGCAGAAAATAACCCTCAGATTCCTTAAAAAAAGCCTGGACTGAGCTGGTAAAGACTAGAGAAACTCCCGTGATGCTTTCAACTTGGAACTGCAGTCGCATCCAGAGGTCACCTTTCAGCCAAATCTTAAAAAGCTAAATTAGAGCCAGCACGCTTTAGTCCTTTCCATCTCATTAACACTCTCCTGATCACCCCGTGAGCGCTCCCTGTCAGGCTCCAAGGCAGTAAACCCTCAGGGGAGGAGACCACCTCCTCTCTCTCCATGTTAGCTTCGAACTGCTAATATTTGAGTTAGAATCCCAACATTTAACCAGCTGCGACCCCAGGCTCACTCTCGGGGGTCATCTTTCAGCCAAATAGTAGGTAAACTCATAAACAGTGTTGTGATGAGGATTGTGGTTCCTTAAATAATCATCTGTATGACAGCACCTGGTGAACAGTTACCTAAAACAAAGATGAGAAGTTGAAGTTAAGGACAGGCTGAGAGGGGGGTAGGGGGTGTGAGTCAGAGGCAGGGAAGCTAGATTAATAGAAGTAGAACAAGCAGAATGGAAAGAATGAGAATGTGAGCAGTGTAACCAATGTTATCTGCAGAGAGATTATGAAACAGGAACCAAATTTGCTCGGTAAACTTTGACCAGAGGTACAGAAAAATACTGTTCTTTTTTAAAATTAGGGGCAGGGAGAGTCATCAAGTCTGCTTGAATTGCTGTGGATGTGTTTCCTTCCAGATTTTCTGGATGTTCTGTTCAATTTCTAGTACGGAGTTGTAATTATACACATCTCTCGGGTTTGGTTACCCCCACCTCCCATTGTAAAGCCTTTGCTTGTGTTATTCTAAGTACAGGTGACTTCTGGCATGGCTTAGTGGCCCCATACTAATGTTTTCGGCT